CAGGTTTCCAAGAATCTAAGTACTGATGCCACATCCCAGATAACACAATAACGCGGTAAACTAGGTCTACTTTCAAACACACCTTTCATAAATCTAATAACTAATGGGTGTGTGCCAACAGGCTTACCCTCAAAAAACATAAATGTGGAGAGTGCTGACCTTGCGGTGTTAAGTGCGCTATATCCACCGCCGTCATTAAACAGCTCAGCTAAAAAATCCAATACATCTGCAATATTATGGTTATCAACGTCTATGCTATTCTTTCTGGAATAATTAATCCATTTAGTAAGGTAAACATTATATTGTTTCTTGGTGCCAATTCTCCAAGAATTCATAATTATATGTTGTGCTCTCTCTGAAACTTGTATTTTCTGCAGTCTCTGCCTGACAGGCGACAAGCTATGAGGTTCAGTTTTTTCAAAAGTGGATGCACTAGTCCTGGTTTGAATGGGAGAGTCAAGAGGTCTTTCTGTTTGCCTAAATGAAGTGGCGGCTTGGTCATCAGCGACTGCATTGTTGAGTACCACACTTGTGTTGGCCATTGTGGCACCACCAGTATAGCCTCTGCTCTTTCCTCTCTGATCTTCTTTAACACAACTGGAATAACACTGAAAGGGCAAAAAATGTAACATAAGTCATAAGAGTTCCAGGTGATAGTAAATGCATCAACCGCTGCAGCCTCTGGGTCTGGTCTCCATGATACATAAGGGAGACACTGGTAATTAAGTCTGGAGGCAAATAGGTCTACTGAGGGTTGTCCAAAAATGTGGGTTATGTAATGGAATATGTCAGGATTTAGTTTCCACTCTGTCTTATCATCAAAGACTCTTGATTCCTTGTCTGCAATAGCATTAAGTCTGCCTGGTATGTGGGTAGCAGTCAGCCAGAGATTTCTATCTATGCACCACAGCCATATTTCCCTAGCAATCCTATTACAAGAATGGGAGTGGCTGCCACCCATGTGTTTGATGTAGGAAACTGTAGTAGCATTATCAGATTGCACCAGAATATGGGTATCATGCATATCACTGCAAAGGGACTGTAGTCCAAACAAAACAGCCTTAATCTCCAAGTAATTGATGTTGATCTCACACATATCTGCATCAGTCCACCTGCCTCCTGTAACCTTATCCTCATCTATGGCTGCCCCCCACCCTTCAAAAGAGGCATCTGTAGTTAGCACACATGATGGAGCTGGCCGAGAAATAGGTTTAAATGTTGTACGTACATTGTTGATCCACCATGTAATGTCTGATATAGCTTGAGAGGATAAAACCATGAAATCATCATAATCACCTCTAGCATGTTTAAGTGCTTCACTTTTATCATGCTCTAGTCCCCTGTAGAAAAGTTGCCCATGCTGTGTACCAGGGAAACAAGAAACCATTAGTCCAATCAATGTTGCTATGTCGCGTATCTTTAAAGGTCTAGTCTGGAGAGCATAATATGCTAAATTAAGCAATTTTTCAATTTTTTCAGTATTTACCCTGACAGTCATAGATTCAGAGTTCAGAATAAATCCTAAGTGTTCCAGACATTTAGTGGGGGTTAGGACCGACTTCTCATAGTGCACAAGAAACCCAAGTGATTCTAGCAACTCCACAGTCTCTACCACATTTCTCTTACATCCATCTTGACTAGCACAGACCAAAAAACAGTCATCAAGATACCCACTAATTGCATGACCTTTCTGTCTTAAATGTGCTAAAACTGGCTTCATTAATTTTGTAAATTGTCGTGGTCCACTAGAAAGGCCATTAGGCAGACAGGTGAATGAATACAGTTGATCTTTCCACATAAACTTGAGAAATTTGCGGTCACTTAATGCAATGGGCACTGTATAATATGCGTCTTTCAGGTCTATAGAGGCCATAAAGCAATCAGGCTGCATCATATTGACACATGATTGGAGGGTGTCCATTTTGAAATGGTGATAGGTGACAAATTCATTTAATGTTTTCAAATTCAAAATTAGTCTAACTTGTCCATTTTTCTTGGGGCGAGTAAATATAGTAGAAATAAATTGTCCCTCTTCTGGCATAGAGTGAGAAATAACCCCTTTAGAAATTAATTTTTTAATCTCACAGTCAATCACCTTGCACTCTTCTTGATTAACTGACCAAGTAGGCGTTAAAGTTTGAAACGGCGTATGAGCAAACTCAATGGTCATGCCACTGACAATCTGTAAGATATTCCTATCGTGAGTTAGATTTTTCCATTGACTGACAAAAAATTTTAGTCTGCCTGCTGGCATGTCACACCCACTAGTGGGTCTATCATAATCATGAATTTTTTGAGGACTCACCGATGTGAATACTGGCCCTAGTACCAGTTGTGACTCTGACCCTTGGTGTTGGGTGGCTTGCGGCCTTGTTTGCCATAACTCCAACTGCCTGACTTGCCGCTCTGCTTCTGCGAGCTCTTGCCTCTGTGCCCTAAAAAAGGCCTCTGGCTCTGGTGGTGTGACGTCAGCTTTCCCTGTCTGTTGGCATGGGGCTTATTGTAAGGACTGAACCTTTTGAAAGAGGGAGTAAATCTCTTGAATTGGGTTGTCATTTTATGTGTTTCTGTTAATTCTTTCACTGCGGTTGACAAATCAGAACCAAAAAGGAAATTCGTGACAGGCCTGGAGGCTGCACAGAGACCCTTGGTGTTGTCCGGCATTTCTGTTTTCCATACGTCTTTCCGACGCAAGTTAATTTCGGCATTGGAGCCTGCTAGCAGGCATAAACAGTCCGAGAGCTTCTCTAACAATTCTCGTCCAGATGGCATGTCATTTTTATCCCTCACTGCTCCCATGAGGCTGTTCATTACTTCAGTAAGGCATGTCATGCCTTTCACGAGAGGCCCCTGCACTCTCTGTAATTTCAAATCTCGGTTACGTAGGATCTCACCTGCGCCAGTCCAAACCTCGCGCTGACACTGCGGCACAACCAAATACTGGCAGTTATCCGGTCTTAAGTATTTTTCCTTCACTTCGGTCAGCCGCTGGTCAGAAATACCAGTTGACATCATAGTGTCGATTTTCTCTGCCAATTCCGCGTCTACAGCCGGGCCGCATGCTTCTTTCGTTTTAAGCGACTGTGAGAGCAGAGCCAGCAAGTCGTCGTTGCCAGCTGTGGCTTCATTTCCCGCTGTTGTGTGGTCACGTGACTCGTCGAGATCGTCTTCATCTTCGACGTGTATATTATCATCCTCATCCGAGGAATCATGTGCACCCATGTTTGCACTTATTCTTTGCACCACTGGCAAAATTGTGGACACCGCTTTTGTCAGCGTGTCTATCTGCGCCTGTAACTCCCGCGTCTGACATGTATTTTCGGCGCCATCTTTGTGTGAACCACCGCTGTAACCGACCTCATCTGAGGCGGGGCCTGAGCTCTCAAGCTCTTTAAGAGAAAAAATAACCTCTTTAGGTTTTGTTGCTCCAGTATCGGAGACGGCCCTGTCTTGGGACCTAGTGGTCGTCCCCATCTTTGCCGTACCAGTAGCGAGCAGTGGTGTTTGGCGATCTTTCTCTTTCTGCTTCTTGCCGCCATCCCTCTTTCCACTGGCAGATTTACTGCCGCTCGCTTTCTCTAATTTGCTGTCGCTTCTTGAGCGCGTCTTATCCATGTCCTCTATTATTGAACTGACCACATCAGTTGCTGATGTAGATTCAGCCATGGCGGTGACCTACTTATGGTCCCTTTGTCTAAAAGCTGTTCTCCGCTGTTCACCACGAACACTGAATTGGAACAGCGTGTGGGAACGTAATCTACCGCTCGAAAGGTAGTAAAACAAAGTAATCAGAGATGGTAGCAAGTTGCTTGCTATCTCTCTATTGTAATATAGTCCAAAATATAGTCCAAAATATAAATCAGAATGAAGATTTTCTTACAGCTAAAAACTCGCGTCCGATGACTTCCAGAAGTAAACTGTACATTGACCTCTGGGAAGCTTTTTGCATCTCACGTGATCTCATATGCAAATGAGGGTGGTAGAATTACATTCTTGTGAAATGTCCTGCATGCGATGCCCATGTTTGTATATGGACATACCAAGGCACGCCCATAATATATACTCATGGAATTTAAAAAATGCATCACTTGATATTTCAGTGAATATTTTTATAGGATGTAGTTTTACAGTAAAATATCTAGGAAAATATACATGTATGCTATATCCCTAGGGATTCTTTATTGATACACCTTCACAAATGAGGTACAATCAAAGACAGTACATCTAACTATAGCAGAGTACAAACAAGTAAATTAATAAATATACATGATTTTGATGCGATATAGATGAATACGTGTTTAAAAAAGGGCCGAAGTACAATCATAGAGGTAAAACAGACAACTCCAGCTACAGATACGTAAATTTGCAGGACGTGGAAACGCATTTAGACCCAATTAGGTAAATGTATAATAATACTAATAAATGAGTTTAGAAAGTGATATATATAAAATGTGTAATGATAATCTACAGGCGATGAATTTAAATACATACACTGAAAAGAGTACAATGTATTAAGAGAGGGTTTGTTCCCTTTGTTGGAAGCATCTATTTACAAAACGCATAACCATTCTAAGAATATTTAAGTCTTGAGCACCCATAAGAAAATTAAACAGTTCATTAAAGCTGAAGTCGCCTAGGGGTAGGAAATCTGACAGCTGCCCTCTGAAGGGATAACATGTTGAATCATATGCTTTGCACTCTAGCAGGAGGTGGAACTCATCTACTTTATTCAAATCGCAAAGTTTACAAAATCCTAGGTATAATACGATTAAAAAATAAAAAGATAAATTAAAAAGTAAATAAAAATTATATGCTATATTCCTAGTTATTATACGATTAAAAAAAAAAAAAAACAATTGAACTGTGTTTTGATCGGCACTACAACATTCGACTATCAGCCTTAGCATCTCGTCGCTAGGGGCCGCCATGTTGGATTTCTCACTTCCGTCCCGCTGCCGTCTATGATCTAGTGCTTGGAAGTGGCACGAAATGTCACTTTCATTCGGCCTCTAATAAGGCCACTGGCACTTAGTCTTTTATACTTATACATCATGCAAATAGCATTTTAAACTGCATGTGGTTCAATAGTTATGTTTCATCTTTTCTTGATTAGTTGAATGGACTTATACAAACTGTTGCCTTTTTTGATCACTTTTATTACCTCCGCCAAGGAGGGTTATCAATGTTTTCACCCCTGTCTGTCTGTTTGTTTGTCTGTCATCAACATAACTCAAAAAGTTATGGACCGATTTTGATTAAATATTCAGGAACCCCCCCGAACCCCCCTGGCTACGGGCCTGATATACCCACATATACTGTACTACATACATGTGATGTACACATGTGATGTACACTTGCAAATAAGCCATCCAATTAACCCATCCAAAGTTTATAACTTGAAATAAACATTAAAGATCGAGGGGAAGGCGTAAATTAATCCAATTTTTCGAGGTTTTTGTGTGTTCATTATAATGGTGAAAAATTACCTGTCGTTATAATATACAAATAACGTAAAATCTGACGTTGCATAAAATCATTATCGGACCGATAACAGGAAAGCGCGCAGTCAGCCACTAGGTAAAGTAAAAAATAATTTAATATTGAACAAGCAATGTTTGTTAACCTGTCCGTCAATGTTAGCCGCCGGCGTGTTTTACACCTTTCAAGATAGAGGAGATACATGTACATGTATATGCTCATCGGTTTCGGGTACATGTACTACTATATACCTTATGTAACCAACCTATGGCAAGGAAAAGTACTCTTTTTTGTTTATGACTATGTGGAATCAAGGAGTTGTCTTATGTACAAGATGAGTATCGGAATCGTCAATGCTGTGAACCAACGGTAAATCAAACTTTGAATTCCAATGCTGTCTTCCTGCTGGGACCCCCTTGACCCGGTGTAACGTGACAGATTACCTCTCGTGATAGAGAGTCCGCTTCCCATTCATTTGTACAGGAAAGCCTCGCCCTTGATTTTGACCCACAGGCTAGCCCTAACAGGGCCGTAGCCTGAGCAGAATGCCGGGGGGGGGGGGGGGGGGGGGGGAGGGGGGAAAGGGGGGGGGACCCCCCGGGGGGGGGGGGGGGGCCCCCCCCCCCGGGGGGGGAAAATTTTTAAA